AGACAGATGGGTGATTCAAGTGGCCTCTTGATTTCCAGGGAAGCCTGGGCAAAATCAGACGTGGAAGATTATGCCCAGTTTCCATTGGTCTAAGTTTTATAAGGGTTGTCGAAAGTGTTTACACCCTTTTTAGTAAAGATCCAACCAAGAATAAAGAGAGAAATAAAATTTTTTGACAACCTTAAAGGTATAGTGGAGGATGTTCTTTTTCTTGGTGGATCATCAAAATAAGTGGTCCATCATTCTGTCAGTCATCATTGAAAATCTTCTTTTGGAAAGTAAGCTTATATGATAGGCAAACAGGAACTTTTAAAAAGAGTGTGCAGGAGGAGAAATGGACTCATGCACGCTCTCACACGCGTTTAACAGACATTCCCTCTCAGGAGCAAGTACAGGATTTTTAATGTGCGTTTTTTTTTTTAATGGATAGGTGCATCTTGTCAAAAAATGGCAAAAATCCTCCACTATACCTTTAATGTACATACAGTGTTGACCTTTATTCTCACTTATCACATTTTTTATTGTTTTGTACATACCTGCTTGAGTACTAGAGTCTGATGAGCGAAGTTTGGCAAAGAATGATCTTGTGCAAAGATAGCATTAAAAACACCTAGGAATTCACAGTGTTATAGGGTTAGCAGCAAAGCATTGTGGGAAGAGAAGGCTGAAACCAGTCAGCGAGAATCTCCTTAATCCTCCAGATGGCTGGATTAAGTAGGCTTGTAATTTGTAACTCTTAAAAAGAAAACCTCTAAACTTGGCTTAAAAATCCATTAACCCTTTGACTGAAAACGTTAGCTTTTGATCAAATTCAACTTTTACTATAGTTGCTGGTATGGCCTGTAAGCATAGACACAACACAGCACATCACACAGTGTAATGATGGGTTTTAAAGATCTCACCCACATGCAGAAATCCACTCAGAGACCCAGGGGAAGAGTTAACAGGTTATTGAGAGGTTGACAAAAACAGAGAGAGAGATTGTATGCTTGGGTTAACGCAGTGGGACTTCAGCGGTCTGGTAAACCGGAACCGGAAAGTTAGAGAGGTGCTTGGTTTCCCTTGGGTCCATTTTGTGGGGGGTTTTATCCAAAGATGAATGAACACGTTGGAGGGCAGACAGGCAGACTTGCGTTGGGTCCAGAGGAGCAATGGAACGGACTGTCACGGACTAGTTTTCCTGAAGTGGGCTTCAACAGATCTGGTGAAGGTTTCCCCTTGCTCATTGTGACTTGAATGATTCATTCCAATGGGGGAGAAGGACCAGGCTTATCCAGTGGATCAGGAGGGCATCCCAATACTGGCAAACACTCTGGCGTCGAGGTGGTGTCAGCTCGCAGCTCAAGTACTCCTCTGGTAATGACCCAACATGCAGCAGGTGTGCAGGGAGGCCCAATGAGAACAGGGCACCTCCTGGTGGTGGGGAGAGGAAAAAACACAGAAAAACAACCCACACATACTGCAACCCTAACACACAGAGGATGCAGTACCAACAGTGAAACACGGTGGAATCAGCATCATGCTCTGGTGTTCCTTTTCTCTTGGGGAAAAGCCGGAAGATATAAATATTTCTACAATACCTGCAAGCTTTAATCCCAAACTCTCAGAGGTCTGCTAAAAAATGAAGGTGAAGAGGCTTCAGCCTCACTGTCACAAAAAGTTAAATCAAGAGGACCAAGAGGGGAATAAAGTTCTGGACAGGCCTGGCAAAGGTCTAAATGTGAAAGAAAATTGTTGGCTTTGCCTCCTGAGGAGAATTTAGGCAAAGATATGTCCTTAAAATCTGATAGATTTTGGAAAATCCCTGCTTGGTGGTATGGCCACATATGACCACGTCTGTCTTTATTTGTTTTTTTATTTTAATTGTAAATTATGAATCTCACATAACCGATAAAATGTTTTAAAAGTTTTTTATCTATGGATCTTTACATTTTAGATTCACTCTGCTCTTCAGACCTTTTGACAAAATGTTTTATTAAATATGTTTTTGGAGTGGTTGGGAGGGTAGCTAACCACTACCTTCATTATAGTGGCCCTCCAACCTTTTAAGACAAATCATGTGGGTGATTTGATGACCGTTCATTATTTGAGCACCACTATGTCGGCTATCAGAGATTCATATCACGAATGCTGCTGCTAATCTCTCAGACATAGACTTCCAGGCCTGTCTGTCTCAACCTCTGCAGGACAATTTCTGAGTGAGGAATGATAATGATTTTGACCCTGTAGTCGGGTTAGCCTAGAGTAGCAACCAGTACCGTGGAGCCGTGCCAAAAACTGTTTGGAGCCACATATTTTCCTTCCACGCTCTGATAGATTGTCGCACTAACCTACCTTTAAATATTGGAGCAGATTAAGTCACTATAACACATTTAGAAAACTACACAGTGGCATCCTGGACAAAAACAGATTTACAAAGGGGGGGGGATCTGGAAAGAGCCTTTACTAACCGAAATATTTCAGTTTTTCTCTTGAAACACTTTCAAACACTAATCTTAGTATTTGAAGAAAGTGAAAAGCAGAAAGGATAATAAAATTGATCAAATCGAAATGTTTTTTTTTGTTTTTTATTATAAATTAACACTTGTTTACATATATACATACATATAGTTACAAATCATACACATATATATACACACATATACAACCACACATATACATACACACATCCACATTTATCCATGGGGGGTACAGAGTTTGCCATAATACACAAGTTAGAGAGGTCACTTATCAGGACAGTAACAGGTGGTTATTTTGTACGTTTTTGTAAATACATTTTCAGTGTGGGCGGAGGTCCAGGCAATCTGGAATCTGGTTGATTATCTAGGATTATGGCGGCTTGTTAAATAGCAACCAATTCCAAAAAGTCTTTGTTCCAATTCTGCACATCAAAACAATTATAGTTCCTTTCCTTCCAGTTCAGCAATATTATACGTTTGGCTGCTAAAAAGCCCAGTGATACGATATAGTCCACATTCTTTGATGTAGAGTCTTCAGTCTTTATTCCAAGTAGACAATCCAGGGGGCAAAGTGATATTTCCATATCTAGTATATGAGACAATGTGTCAGTTATATTCCTCCAGAATGTCTGAACAGGAAGGCACTTCCACAGCATATGCAGCAGAGTGTCTTCTGAGCCACAGCCATGCCAGCACAATTTACACTTTTCTTTGTCCATTTTATTTAGAATATAAGGTCTAATATATGCTTGATTTGTTATTTTGAGCTGTATGATTTTATACTTAACACATTTGGACATTTTTGTGCTTTTTTGCAGTGCTGCATTCCAATGTGAGTCAGAAATCTAACTGGTTTTTAAAGTGATATTGAACTGATACTGTAGTTCCTAAATACCATCTATATAATATAAAGGAAATGTTTTTTTTGCTCAATACATTTTCATTAAAAAGCTAGTTGCTACCATGTATAGCATTGGAATGAATGTATACAGGACAGAACTGCTTATAGCAGCAGTCTTCAATATAAATGTATGACAATATTAAGGAACTAGCACATGGGCTGAAAAATAATTCAACATCAATATATATTATATCCTGCGATGGACTGGCGACCTGTCCAGGGTCACGCTGATCCCGGATGGAAAATGGATGGATGGACGGATGGACATAATATATCATCATTTTATTCAATTGCAGTAATATAACATTTCCAATATTTTTAGAATAGATTACAGTCTAGCGTTTGTCACTGTTCCAGGTTTTATGTAGTTTATTTTTGCTTTATAAAGGAAATATTTCTAAAATATCACATTGGAGGAGATTTATAATATTGGTACAATACCAATCATAAGTTTGTACAGATTTCTGTTGTGGGCATTCTTGGCTTTCTGAGGCTTTTATTTTGTTTATTGGAATTATAACCTATTGACCTATTGTGATACAGGTTTTCATCATATCACCTGATGACTTGTATATATAGTTCTAATTTCGCTGGCACCAAAATACTCTATTATATAACACACAAAAGGAAAGACGTGTTAATACAGACAGGTAGATGTGTGTCGTTTTTTATTTCCAAATGCCTAAATTTGCTGTTTTATATAGCCAAAGCAGTAAATGATCTGGGATTAGGGATTATAAAGATACTACCTAAGCTGCATGAACTACAGTGAATGAGGTTTAACTGGAACTCTGTGCTGTGATTAGATGATGATGCGATTTAGATGGTCTGGAAAATATGCATATATTTATAAATAAACAAAAGGTTCATCAGTATAGCTTAATCAATATATATATATAAGTATGTCAGCCAACACACATTGAGTTATTTAACTCTCTTTAACTATAAATCCTATAGAAAACATGTGAGTGACCAATATAAAGATGGTGCAAACAGAAAAGATCCCTCTGTTCCATCCTTCTAAAATTATGTAGAAGACGATGAGCCTAAGGCTGGTTATAGAAAGGATTCAGATGCTAATGCAGGGAAGGAGATAAGAATTTTTTTAACAAGGTATCAGGAAAAATATATATATATAAGGAATTTAAAACAAAGGTATTGAGTCCTGCCCCTGGAAGAGGGGAAGAACAGGTTAACAATCAGTTTTTTGCTATAAAGGTTGAAGGCGTTCACCCTGAAAAACTACCGTGTCTCGACCCAAATACTCCAGCCAGCAACTGATTAACATTCCAATACAACCTCAATCTTCCATACAGTGCATGGATGTCCTCGTATGTATGGTTGTGAATGGGAAACTTTTTAAACAAATACTGACTGAGCACTAAGTACAAGTGTTTGATCAATGTGCTCGCCTCATATTACCACAGTTCTGAAGCCTGATTGGCTCCATCAGATGAACGACCTCTTCACAGCTGAAACCCATTTCACCTGCAGCTTTTATTGATGCACGCATCATAATAAAACATGTGTGGATTGGAGAGAGATGAAACACGCTCAGGGAGATAAATGTCAAGATGGTGCAGTGTTACAGCCTTTGTTCTGTATCATTAACGGGTGTTTTCTTCTGTTTCTCTCTGCAGAGAAACTCTATAACTCCAACGGACGGGACTTGAGGAGGGCTCTGTTCTCTTTGAAGCAAATTTTCCAGGTAACGCACAAAAAAAAATATGCAGTTACTCTCAGTTTGTCACTGCTTTAAATGAGTGGTTGTTATAGACACATGATGGGGATCAGATGAGGTATCTCCCTATGTTTGTCTTGTTGCTTCTCTGTTAGTTCTTAGAGCGGCAAACTCAGTGAGTCACTTAAACTAAATGCCACTTTGTTTTACCATTTGTGAGACAATCTATATTTTAAGAAAATGCTTTCATCTCCACGAGTGGTTAAGTTCAACCTGTCTGAATTTGTAGAAAAGAGCTTTAAAACTAAGTAAAATAAACAACACTACCAAACAAACAAGGTAAAACAGCAGATTTGTTGGCAGGTTGGTGAGCAATTATAACAATATTTATCCTGCACACTACTGCTATCACGTGGTGGGATAAGGAATTGCTAAATCCATATAACATATCCACATAAAATGAGCCTTTCCTTGTTTTTGTTTGCACATAACCTGTGAAACCTTTTATAAATAAAGGCTGTGTGTTTCTTCCCCCCTCTGCTTTAGGATGACAAAGATCTGGTTCATGAGTTTGTGATGGCTGAAGGGCTGACATGTCTAATTAAAGTGGGAGCAGAGGCCGACCAGAACTACCAGAATTACATATTAAGAGGTAAATCTTTTGCTGTTTTCATGACTAAACAAAAAGCCAAAAGTAAAACACTATATATTTTTAACATCTGGAAACATATGTGGTTTTCGAAGCATTTTCAAAGGCAAAAAAAATTGTTTTATTTTAAAATCCTTTTTCTTGAACAGTAAATTGGTAATACTTCTGCTTAAAAGGTGCTGAAAACCTACAAATCAATAATCTTTTACAGTGTTAGCATGAATTTACACTGGAAATACGGATGTAACAGTTTCCTAGTCATGAATATTGGAGATCTTTACATATTTTTAATGGCTGCTCCACCTCATTGTGTCAGGAGAGACCTGTATCCAGATGTAGTCTTACTGTCTCGCTTAATGTTTTAGTTCTTTTGATAAAACAAATGTAGATCTTGGTGCATGTGAGTTAGTAGCCATACTTTAAATATTTACAACCTCTTGCTTTACCTTCAATGGTAAAATCTGTTTTTTTTTCTCTTCTGTTTTAAGCAGATGAGGCTTAGATTTTTGGTCAATAACAGTTATATGGTTAATGAATGTTATCAAAATAACTTTTGATAACAAAATTATAATTTCATTTATCATTGTATCATTTAGTGCCAATGCTACTGCAGTTGTAGAAGAATTTAGTTGACACATTTTTACCCGGGGGTGTCAACAAATGTGAAAGGCGCAGCTTTTATCTTATAGTTTGTAAGGTCTGCATTTAAAATCAAAGCACTAAGCAAACCTTTAAAATGTGTTTTAGCGTTACATAAAGCATTATGCCAACGGTTTTCATATTTTTGCGCATAGCAAGTGTAAAAATTTTAAATGGAAAATCTCTTTTGGTACAATTCTTTTAAAATCCCTAAACAAGTGGGAGAACTCTAAGGTTAAAATAGAAAATCATTGTTAAAAGTAAAATTTGATGATACAAATAAGGTGCTTAGTGATTATAGTTTGTATCCTTTCTTCTCACTTAAACAAACATGGCATTTTTGTATATCTGTGGGGTCTCTAACCCTACAAATATCAGATTAGCTATAGAAAATCAACATACATCATTATTACACCATTAACAAAGCATTTATAAGCCAATTTAATTATTGGAAAAGCAAATATTAAATGTAAGACTTATTTGTATTTTTATTAAATGACAAGAGCAGAGACAGCCCTGCAATGAGCTGCTGAGCGACAACAGGGTGGAAAATACAATAGAATAGAGTAGAATTGAATAGATATTGCCATTGGTGCAAATACAGGTCACAATGATCCCGTCAGAAAAATGTGACGGTTAAAAATACATGAGAAGAATATAGTATGTCTTTGTACATTTTTTTTTCTCTCTCTCTATGGACTACTGTTTTCTTTTGATTTAAAAACAGTTTTTATCGGCCTGATATCAAGTTTTTTGGTAACTGCACAGTGAATCTGTGAGTTTTTTTACTCTGCTGTTTTTGTCTCATGAGCACCTTTAACCCTCTCCAGGCAGATGTTGCAGATTTGCAACAGCTAAATGCTACTTAGCTACTTACTCCACATCCATATTTTAGGAGCTTTTGTTACTCAGAAGTACAACAGAAGGACTTAGTTGTGCATTTGCAACAAACAGTTTCTCTCCAGCTCACCAGATAGCACTGCTGACTCACTTTCAACATGGCTGAGTCCTTGATGTCACTGAAACATATTTTCTAAGTACCAATTTTATATAAGTATCATTACCAATTTCCATTATTTTGAAATCAATACTACATACTGTAAGATGAATCATGAATGTGTATGGATATGACATATGCCAATTAGTAGATTTTATCTCCTCTGGGTTTTTCGAGGCATCTCGATTTCAATGTTGTGGATGTGCAACGTGTGCCCAAACAGGTACTACATGCTTTATCTACTAGTTTGCCTATATTTTGAGCAACAGTTTAACAGAAACAGCCTTCTCAAGAGGTTTTGAGATGTCGGTGAAGAAAAAGTTTGAAAAAAGTTGTCTCTAATTATGTGAGAGAATATTTTTTTTCGAATTTTGTTTTGTTAATTTTTTGTTTGTGACATTCAAATAAAGTTAACATTCATATCAGATTCAGTCTTCAGTGTTAATTTACCACTCCGGGCCACTGTTGCAAATCTGCAACATCCCAGAATTCATTGCATGTGTAGGTCTTTCTCAAAAAAAAAAGTCTGAATTGTATATTACTACCCCATATGATAATTTTCTCCAAATATCAGATTTTTCCTGCAACTACAACTTAATTTGAGCCTGAGAGGGGTATGCTTTCAATTGGTTCTTTAATAAGCTACATATCATCACTGTTGGAAGTAAAATGATATTTCTATTCTATTCTAAATGACTTATTTAAAGTTAGAGTTATGTAGTAGGACATTAATGGGAATTTTATAATTATTTTATAACATACTGTGTGATGTTTTATCAGCGGTGATAAAACAAGAACTCCCCCTGTAAACTAATGAGGAAGTGAAGCAGCAGGAACAAGAGCCTTTATACAGTAACCTATAAAATACTTGTATTTTTTTTTCAAATGAACTGGAAACCAACCTTTAAATTTCAAAGAAGTAATCACTAAAGAAAAAAATATATACAGAATACAAACAATGAATTATATAGTTTTGACGTTTCAGTATCATTTTGTTCACATAAAAAGAGAAATACTAATACAATAATAACATAGTAATTGTAATCTGACTCTCATGTATAAATACTTGTGCAAGTACAACAAAATATTGTTTGTATTTTATCATTCTTTCAAGAACTTAGCAACAATAGTGAATCAATTAAAAATGGCAATATGCAAATTAAACTGAATCACTGTTTCACAATAATGATTAATGAAATCCTGATTTGCATGTCTATTTTCTACAGGGAACAATGATATTCTTGGACCTCATGGTCAAAGGTTGATTTTCTTAATCAGAATGCCATATGGCCGGATAGCACTTTCCACGATGCATTTCTCTTCTTCACAGGATGTTCCTTTAGGAACAGGAACGAGCCAGTAGTCCTTCTTTGAGCGCTTCACTAATGCATCTGGGTTTATGCGGTTTTGGAGGATCACTTTGTAGTTTTTTCCTGTTGTCTTTGATCTGAAGGTCTTGGAGTATTCCTCTCTTTCGGCAACATGTACATCAGGCGTTGAGTAGATTCCTCTCCCATATGACTCTCCCTTGCCCACTTTGTAGTGACTTCTGATGATCCCTTTGGCCCCGTCTAAAGACGTTCCATGATAGGAAACGGGCCACTCCCCAGACACGGAGTGACTCCTCCATCCATCACTGCCCAGCCAAGCATCTCCGTCCAGATATTTACCCCGGACTTTCAAGGCCATACGGTACCAGCCTTTTGGTCGTGTGTATGGCTCACCCCCTCTGATACAGACGGAAGAGTCAGAAAGTTTGGTAAAGTCGTAGTCATACTGCGGGTCAAAAAATTCCTCCTCGTCAATGAAAAATTCTTTGACATAAGGGCTGTGCTGGAAGAAGATGGAGTTTGTTAAAAAATTCTCAACTGGTAAAAAAAGGGATTTCTTTTTTCGAAGTTTCTTTTCATCGAATGGTTTAACAATCTGTCCCAGAAATAAAGACAGAACTTCAAGTTTCAGATCAAGGTCCAAATACATGTTTGGAGAGCGGCTTGTTCTCCTGTTCAGGATGTGTGAGCTTCTCTGCCTTGGTGCTTTTATACTCAGGAGTAAAGTGAGATAAGACATGTGCCGTCCAGTTTCTGTTTGCTTATACAAGCTGTAAAAGCTATTTTATTGTACAGTACTTTGGAATAATAAAAAAAAAACTCCTTACAAACTTCTTTAATTTTGGCAGTTTTTTTCATTATTTTGCAAATCAGCAAACTGATTCTATTTACAGAAAAAAAAAAATACATTTACTCTACTTTCAAATGATGATTATATCCTTTCAGTGAGCAATGCACTGGCCCTATGTGAAAAAGCAATTTTCACCTATGATAATTGAAGGGATCCACCCATAGCGAAAGCAATTGCCATTAAATATCTTGTAATTATTTGACAGTAAGTTATAAGTAGGATATCTAGCACACATCACTTTGCTTAATAATTTAAATTTAATTGTATTTTTGAGTCGTTTAAAGATGAACTTGCAGGTGTGATTCGGATCATTGTTGTGCGGGGTAATCCAATTCGGTTAAAAGTCGTATACTTCGGTGACCAGATGTCCCCTAATTCCGGGACAGTCCCCGTTTTGGACCAGCTGTGCCCGGCTAAAGCTATCCCCGGAAATGTCTTTTTTAACGTTTTATGAATGAGGGGCAAAACGTGTGTAGACTGTTATTACGGTAGAAAGAGCAGAGCGCACCCTCTTTAAAACAGACGAAAAAGTTCTTTGTCACAACGGGTCGCAGCTGCCCTGTGTTATGTTGAGCGTTTTAATCGGTTCATTTGATTTGGATTGGGCTGATCATTGTGATAAATGTTTGTTTTGTGCCCAGGTTAATGAAAAATAAGGCTTTGATGTGTTTTGTTTTACCGGAGGACCAGAAAATGTAAATCAAACCAAGCTAAACAACAACAAGTAAGACTGACCATTGGCTGCAGCTGGCATGAGTAAATCGACTCAGATAAAATTAAACAGAATGATTGCAAACTCCTTGTAAGGAGCTAATCTGGTTTTGTGGTTCTCCAGGGATTAACAAGGTTTCACCTAAAGATGTTCTTTAGGCGAACTGATAGGTTAGGGTGACCAAACGTCCGTATTTCCCAGGACATGTTCGTATTTCACGTCCTGTCCTGGGCGTCCCGGGTTTTTTTTTAGAAAGTGAGGAAATGTCCTGTTTTTTTAAATTACCTTAACTGGACCATTAAATTTACAGGCGCTAGGGCACTGCGCACGACGCTGCGTGTGACGTCACCCCTGAGCCACGCCAGTGCGGGCAGCCCTGTTCTTAATCAGAATATAGATAGCGTGCCTGTCAGTACGCCAACAACATGCAAAGGCACAAATGTATGTTTACCAACGATTTACAAAAGAGTTTCC